CACACGCAACTACAAGAGACAGAACAAGATACTGAAAACCACACACAACAATATCGCAAAACCCGTTGCTGGCGATACTACAGAAGCTGTAATCCTTTCCTTAATCCCCCCGGCTCCCCCTAGTATATCGTAACCCTCACGTCGAATGGCGTTCCGACCGTGAGATTTAGCACGCCACAGGCATACTTGCCCCCCATCGGTGTTTGCCATCGGGATTGGGTTTTCGTCTCTTGGCAACAACGTTTTAAAACAAGCCAATTCAATTTGTGAACTCGGCAACCAGGTTACCGGTTTGTCTTTTTTCCTCTGTTTTTTTTTGGCGGTAACCATAGTGGTGGTCGAGTAGATCATGTTGTGTGGGGTCGAGAACCGTACTCCGCGCAAGGGGGATGATCGCACCACGTTGTGTTAAAATGGTCAAGCACCCTCGAGGCAGTTACACAGTGCTTACAACTGCCTCTGGAAGTGAAAGCACCAGAAAATAAACTAAGTCATACGCAGCTGTCATCCGTACGCAAGGAAGTAAGCACAAGATGCCGAACACCCTAGGACAGGATGCAGGGTACCCTTCATGCGACTCGCCGAATACCTCACGGCGCTTCGCGCTTGGTGATGTGAGAGCCTGGTCCGATGAGAGCCCGGCGTGCTCCGTCCCGGCTTTGTAGGGATGCGAGGTCAATGGTCTAACGACTACGGCATGCACGACAATGAGTACAGACAGGCATAGTCTCCCTTCGCGTTTCGAGGCATAGGAGGCCCAACACACGTCTCTTGTTCTTCCTACTGGCATTTTCTGGGGGAGGGGGGACTCTCGACCCGTTATGAACAAACCGCGTGGGATGCGATGTTGCCGAAACTGTCGACATGGTCGTATTCCACTCGCACAAACACCTGCGTGTGTTGAGGATGTGATCTGCAATAGGTGTCAACTCACCCGCCAAGTGAAAGGGGGACCTCACAGTTAGCAGCACAAATTTTTCGGGCCGTGTCCACCCAAAGCTGGGTTGCGTTTGCGGCCAGCGGGTGCGGGCGCGGGAGCCGCGACTATAACAAGCGGCTCCCCATCTCGATGTCGCCACCGCCAGGAATCTCTGTCGGACCGGCTGCGTTACCAGCGCTAAAGGTTATGCTACCACTGCCCTCCGTCACTTAAAACTCCTCGCCACCAAAACCGCCATCACCACGACCACCACCATCAGTCCCCTGTGCAGGTCTGGTCCCCTGGGAAGTTGTTCCTTCGGCTTCTCGTGCTGACTTGAGCCTAGCTGCAGCCATTGTCACCATCTTCCTGCAGCGGGACTCCGCTCGGTTCGCGGTGCGCAACCTGGGCGTCAGTCGCCTCCCGCGATGAAAGAGAAAAAGGAGGCAAACGAGAGCCGTCAGGTGTCGATCGTTTCGAACTATGGCTTGCCTGGAGATGTGTCCCTGAGCGGTTTCCGAACATTCCATCGCCTATAAAATGATCAAGAGCGTAAAACGCCAGGGTTCCAGGTTCCTCGAAAGAGGAGAAGTTGAACCCCGCTCTAATCTAAATCCCACATGGTCCCCGCAAATTTCTCCGCTCAAAAACAAAAGCGAGCGTCGGACAATATACTGTAGGAGTGGTCGTCTACACATCAATGAAAGTATTCTATTGGAGTGTTGGGTGGGCGGGGGGAGTTCCACGGCCTAATCTGGTCTAACTTTACAAGCTTTGATAGCCGTGCGCTAGAACCATCTTCATTATCAGACGGAAAAGCGTAGCTACAACAGCGGCATCCCCCTGGCAGCATTCTATATTAGCAATTCATTGATTCCACGACCATGCTGGCAACCCCGCCTCTTGTTAGCTTCCGTCACGGCTTCCTCCCTGCCACTAGCCGAAGCATTGGTGGTGGTGATGGTAGCGGTGGAGATGGCACCTATTTCCTTCCCTCTAGTCTCCGCCACACCCTTCGACTCAGCGGTTGCCGCGACTACTCCGGCCTTCGACTGCTTGTAGGCTTGGACTGCAAACGCCAACCGGGCTTTAGTGTTCTCGACAGCCACCATCTTGGCCCGATGCTCCTGGCTTCGTATCCGGACTTCCGCGGGTATTGCTGGCTCGGGGCTCTCTTCCCTCACCGCGGTCCTGATGGAGATACAGGCACACAAAGGTGCCCGCAGAGTTCAGATTGGTCACTTCTGTTTCAAAAGGAAATTTCTCCTTGGTTGAAAATTTGGTGGCGCCATCCATGGCCGTGAAGAAATGATTGGTTGATTGCTATCACCAGTGGTTCGGAAATGACCACACGTGCGGAGGTGGCAACAACGTACCTTCGTTCTATCTCGCCCTCGTTTCCACCGGCAGATCCCTATGAACCTCAAATCCGAGGATAATTCGCGATGGCAGTCTAGGACGACGGGGGGTTGGGACACCAATTCGTCATTGTACTTGCGGGAAGATTCTGCTGGACTGGACTCTTTTCGTGCAAAGAACGAAGGCATGAACCGCAGAGTGGGCTACTTCAGCCGGCCCTATATGCTACCGTAGCCTGTATAAGATGTCACACTCTTGGACCGACGTTCAAGGCTCGATTATTCGATAGGAAAAAATGTGACGGTGTTAAAGATGGCGGCGTTGGAACCGCCTCGCCAAGAGTGTTCCGAACACCTGCGAATTGATTGCGATACCCCTTCGTCGTGGAGTTATCGAGCTTTGAAAATCGGTCGGCGATGTGTGGTGTCTTACGTCATGCAACGTACTGTGCATGTGCGAATGCATCGATCTTCGGGCGGGTGGATGATCAGAGCGACAACTATTATGGTATAATGGGTGCGAACTAAACGCAGGTGCGCATGATGAACGAACACATGCTAAAGCAGGAGCTCTGTGTGCATTCGTACCACTACTACAGTACTGCCAGAATTGTCCAAACACGAAGGAAGCACCCGCATCCGCCCGTTGTGCGAGTTACAGTGGTGCAAGCGCCTCATTATCCTATTATAGAGAGCCCCGATCTTCCACTAGTCTTTAGTGCACCATTCCCTATCGTGTGGTGCCTCATATTGAGCTTCGTGTCGTGGTTTCCCTCAACTTGCCCGACCCTAGACTACCGTAAGCTTGTGAGCCATCACACCCCCGTTCAGTCGTTTTTTAATTTCCAGCGCGCAGGGGTGCGACGAATGCGGACCGTTCGAAGACTTCGGGTCCTGTGCGGGCATCGCATTAAATCATTTGATTTTGATACGTAACGCACACCCCTGGGCGATGATTCCGGTATGTTTGGTACTCAGTGGTGCTGCAGTTGCAGGCTCCGCACGCAACATTCGCACACGCGTACATCAGTCAACCACGAGCAGCTAGGCCGGCGGGTGCTAGGTTTCGAAAAATCACACACAGGGGGGGAAAGGGGGATCAAGGCGATGACGGAGGAGGAAAACATGGCGCGGAAGAGAGCAAAGGGTTTGAGCCAGATGACCTTCCTCACAACAAACACCGCAGGACTGGAGAGCACCTGCCAAAAGTAGTGGGAATATTCTACTGGAGACGAGAGTGGCGGTAGAAAATGCGGGGAAGGCGATGAAAGCAATCGAAAACGAACGCGCGTCCAGAGTGGTCAACACGCAGTTTGCTTCTGTTTGTTGATTGCTACAAGGGTGTCTTATCTTTAAGCAATTTCACAGAATGCCCAGTTTCAAGCCGGTTTGCCTCGATTCACTGAAAAACTTCAGCACGTCCCTTTCGACTACTACCTTGTGTGTGTGTTTTATCTCTCGAACGGATAGTCCTTCTGTGAGATTATGTCAGATAATGTACGTATACTTCTGAAGAAAACTTGATTCAATTCAATTCCCCTCTTGATTATGCTTTCGAACAAAACGGGTACAGATGATCGCAGACTGTTCTTCCGATCAGGTACAGCAAGACTAGTCTATTTTCTTAAATACTTGCAGGAGTATTTCACAACCAGTTATGTCTACAATAGCTACAATTTGTCTTGTTGTCCCCGTCGATTGTTGGTAGACTGGCTCAACCGGCATTCTCGACTTGCCACATGATGAGCTATGCATATATTATTGTCTAAATGCATACAATCAAACAGCAGTCTAGACCATGCCATCGCCGCACGACTGTATGTACTGCAAGTAGCTGCAACATAGATAAATAGGTTGAGCCTTCTAACGAGCACAAGTCCCTCTTGCTTGAAGCAACTTCCTTCCCTCGAGGATGCTAGGGCGTGCTTCTGCCTCTCCCATACCTGGACTGCTCCCTGGTGAGCTGGGCGTAGGGCTGGTTCTCTCGACGGGCAAAAGCACCCATGCACCATCTGACCATCTTTTCGAGGACTCGAACAATCACGTAAAGCGACATGAGGATAGTTCCCGCCAGCCTGCACACATCGATGAAGCTCTCACCTGACATGTCTAGTGCCAAAATGTGACGTGATGGTCAGTCTGTAGATCACCCCCAAGAGTGTTTGATAAACAGCACCAGGTGTGGTGTACGATGTGCGTGTGTGCCCTCTGAGCCACGCCCGACGGATCTTCCATGCCCAAAGACCAGTCTTACAGTCTAATGGAACTGCTGCTGTGCCTGTCAGCAGCTTTTTCTTCTGAATTGTTGTACGTCCGCAACACCTCCCCTCTGGTGGTTGCATTTCGTTCAATCTATCCTTGGTCTCCACAACCAACAGCTAATATTTGGTCAATGCGGAGGCAATAAGGGCTAGGTCGATGTGTAAGAGGCAGGCAAGACGTTATTCTGCGACACGACAACGACACATGCACACATGCAACATCGATGACAAGCAGGACAGGTTTGGTTTGGTTCGCTGGAAAAAAAAAAACCCGGACGACAGACAGTATCAACCATAGAATCCTGTCTGTGTGTCCCCTCCCGGTGGCGAATTGTAGGGGAATGGGACGCCAGGATCTTGTTCAGTGCACAGGGTCGGGGTGTTGGGGTTGCGGCAGCAAAAACAGGAGGACGTATTCGACAGGAGGGGAATCTTGCCACTTCTGCGCGGATGCTGATCACCCGAACAGCGTAGACGACATTGGTTTTCAGGACGGAAAACCAGCAATACGCTGCGGGCAGGAGAGCGCACTTTTGAGCGTACAGGAGTGCAAAAACAAGGAGAAATGGGCGACCCCGTGGCCATGGAGGTACCCCCCGCTGCAGCAGAGCCAAGTACTACTCCAGTGAAAGCGTTGCCGCAACCAGGAGTACCTGCCGCGGCTGTTCCCGCGCCGGTTCCACCCTCAAACCAAAACAGCAGTGACATCAGCGCGAGCGCGGGTTCTGCTGCTGCTGCTCCTACTCCCGCACCAGCACCTCCTCCGGCAGCCTCCGGAGGCAGATCGGAGGATGACTCCAACGTCTCGTGGAACGATATCAAGAGCGTGCAGAACCTGATCGAGCGTTGCTTGCAGAAGTTCATGACCCAGACCGAGATCATCGCGGCTCTTCAGGTGTGTGAGATCATGCATGCATACGTCTCGCGGATACCTGCTACCGTACAACCCACGGCAACTACGTTGAATACAACCCCCCTGGTTTATTCCGTTTGCCACAGACAGAAAGCGCCAGTGGCACATGGTCCCGTGCTTCTTTGCGCCCAGCGGTATGCGTTTTGCGTCTATCACGCATGGTCCAATATCCTTGCGATGTATCTCGCAACATGCGTACCTTGTTTGGGCAGGTCGAAGCAAATGTGGACCCCTCTTTTACGTGCCTCGTCTGGCAAAAGCTCGAGCAACAGGTGAGAAGCAGTGAACCTTCCGTGCTTTTCGGGCCCCTTGACTTCTCACCACGGCCAAGTTTGGTACGCACGTGCGTCAATGCTTGTCGCAGACAATAGTGCTCGTGTTGGTTGTGTCCGCGTCTTTCTATGAGTGCTGGACCTGTTTTGAAGCGGGCCGTGACTTGCTCGAGAGGGATGATTGACGTCGTTCTGATCGCCGAAGGAAAGCCCTAGTAAGCCCCCGCCCGCTTTGACCCGGCGTCTTCGTGTGTTTTGAGGAATGGACTATAAGGCTCCTACCTTTGTCGAGGTTCACAAACGATCGGCTTTGCTCGCTCCGTGCATGTATCCCCCACACGCACAACTTTCCACACTGGCCCTGTGTACCCATGTTTGTGTTTGCTCTCGCTTTTTCAGAACCCAGAGTTTTTTTTTTCGTACCACGCGCGGCTGAAGATGCGGGATCAGATTGTAGCCTTTAACTACCTGGTGGACCAGCAGGTACGGGCAAGAGCAGAAGAAAAACCAAGAGTTCAACGGTCGCTTTGTGATCGTTGTGGTCTTCGTTGCTGGGGTTGTCGTTGTTGCTGTCGTCGTCGTCGTCATCGTCGTTGTTGTTGTTGTTGTTGTTGGCATGGCGATTCGGTTGTCAAGCCAACCAAGACCACCATTTTTCAACAAATAGTCCATCATACGGGCGAAACGTAGCTGTAGTGATCATTGGCATCACGGGTAATTTATTTTTTTGGCACGCTGTCGTTTTTTCCGTCGAATTTTCAACGAACAAAGGTTCCAGCTTGATATGTTGCTTGTTGGTAAAAGAAAAAATTATGCATCTTGCCCATATTTTTGATTGGTCGGGTGTTGTTGTCGTGGTTTCTCAATCGAAAATACATTACGGCAGGAAGGTGCTTGATTTTCAGTTGGCGCCCCCCCTCCCCCTTAACATGAAGATAAAATCTTGGTCTTCGTGTATGACAACACGGGGCCCCTTTTCGCCTCGTCCTTGGCAACACCAAGCGCCCCAATATGCCACGCCATGACCTTTTTGTCAAGTCTGTCCCGTTCCCGTTTCGTTGACCATCCTGAAGGTGTACCTTATTAGAGTCACTTCGACGGGGATGATGCCCCCGGGAATGCCTCCAGGGATGCCGCCAGGTCTGCCCCCCGGGATGCCGCCAGGTCTGCCTCCCGGGATGCCTCCCGGTTTACAGCCCGGAATGATTCCGCATCACCCCCTGGCGCAGCACCCGGGGTTTCCTCAAGGGATTCCGCAGGCGGTGCCGGCACCAGGGGGTATGCCAGGGGCTATACCAGGTGCGTCGATGACATCAATTGTTTTGTGTTCCCACGAAAACCCTGCTTGCTTCCTCAGCCCCAGCTTGCGAAGGATGCGCGAGCCCAATGGTGCAACAGGGAGGTACCACGCGTGGACCGTTCCAAAAGATTTTCCCCTCTGCCCGCTGTTGTTGTCTGCAGGGCCTCCCGGGGGACCGGTTTTCCAGCAGCAACGACAGGAACCGCCGCCACCGCCACGGCCTCAAATGCCGGTGCCCCCTGCCGCATCGGCACCAGTCGCGGTGACGAGTGCAGAAGCCAGCAGGAATACTGCCACTGCTGCTGTTCCAGCGGGGGCCAGTAAGGCGGGCGGCGGCGGTGTGCAGTATCCCCTCCCTGAACCGGCACAGGAGGCTGGTTTCGCTACTGCGCCGGTGATGGCGACTCTGCCCATGTCTGATGGGTTGGCGGCCGCGCCTTCGCCTACTGCTGCCGCTGAAGCGGCTGCTGCTGCTGCTACAGCTGCTGCTACTGCTGCTCCCGTGATCGCCGGCAGTGTGCCACTCTCCCCGTTTCCCTCTTCTTCGGCAGAAGAGGCCGCGGTGGCAGGTGCAGGGGAAGGGGCAGGGGCAGGGCCGGGGGCAGGGGACGTGGGCGAGGTTGTACCGCCGCCAGAGGCCAGCGTCGTAACGGCCCCTGGTTCTTCCCCCGCCCCTCTCGCTGGTGCTGGTGCTGGTGCCGCCGTTAGTGCCGCTGCTGCCGTTGCCGATGGTACCATTAGCGAGCCCGGTCCTGGCCCTGCTGCTGCCGCTAGCAAGCCCGCTGCAGGCTCTGCCGCTGACGATGCCGAACCGCGGCTACCTGCGCAGCCGGAAACGATAGCGACACCGCAAGACAACACAATCACAGCAACAGCGGCAATGGAGGCGGCGGCGACGGCGGCAGTTGAAGCAGGGGCTGCGGCGGCGGTGGCCGGGTTCGAGCCGCAGAGCGGGGAGGGCTTGGGGCTCGGAGGAGGTGAGATCTAGCAGATAGTGGGGTGGCGGATAGGCTACGGGGAGGTTTCTGTCCTTGAGAACGAGATGCGGAGCGCCAGTCGTACAAGAAAAGGATATGGAAGGTGTCGCCGGATATAGGCTAGGTCTGGTTGCCAGGAGGCCGTATGCCAACTGTAGTGAACCGGTCGCGTTCGTGGCTTGGAAAAGGTCGCTACGCTTGGAGATGCACGACCTCCTCAAGCGCCAGGAGGGGAAGGGGATCAGATGGGCAAGGATTTCGTTCATGAATCCCTTATCAGAGACGCCCCCCCCCCCCCCCCCCCCCCCCCCCCCCCCCCCCCCCCC